GTCACAAAAAAATCTACTTTTAAAAGCCAACTAAATGGACCCCAGGAACTAGTGCCACCTGACTCAAAAGTTTTGTCGAATTACAAAAATATCCCTAGTGGGAACACACCCTACTCCTTTCCGTTTGTCAATAAATACTACACTCCTGACCTTACTACTTCCCTTTTCTCCTCCTAATTACCCACCCCCCTTTAGAAGCGATTTTCCGGCCATGTTGTCCACTTTTCCGGCCACTACTCTGTCCACTGATGGCCTTTTTCCCTATTTATTTCCGGCTTTTGATGGCGGGTTCACTCCTTGGGAATGTATCGAACCGGCTTTTCTATTCCCACAAGAAGTGGAAGAAGAAGAACCGGTTGTTTCACCCAAGGAATCCCCACCCCCTGAACCGGTTATTTTAAACTCCGATTCAGGTTCTGATGACTCCAAACCGAATTCTGTTCACTCTAGTTCCGGTTCAGATGACCCGAACCGGAATAATAACAATAATAATAACACGAACCGCTGTCCTGACGAGAGGAAGCGGCAGCGCACGACATCGAACCGTGACATAGATGAGAGGAAGCGTCGACGTATGGTATCGAACCGGGAATCAGCGAGGCGGTCCCGCATGCGAAAGCAAAAGCATCTGGAGAACCTGCGGAACCAAGCGAACAGGCTTAAAGTAGGGAACCGGGAAATAATGAACCGGTTACGGTTAATTACTTACCGGTGCCAAGTGGTCCAGTGTGAGAACGAGCGGGTCAGGACCGAATCGGCTATCCTTCGGCAAAGACTTGAGGGTATACGTCAAATATTGATCACCCGGCAACTTGAGCAGCAATTTAATTCTTATTCTGCATGGGCATGCAATAATATGGAACAAAGACCTCATTAATTAATCACTTGGACCTATAATAAATCATCATTAAACGTGCTTCTTCCTCTAATTAGCACCACTATATAACTATCAGATGAAATGAAGTCACAAGAGGATTTTCTCTCCCTCTCTCTCTATTTCTTGTAAATTAAATTAAAAGGTGCGTATAATAGCGGTAAAGAGATATAGTAATGTATGTAATGTAGCTACTAGCTAGGAGCTTTGAGGTTGGGACCAAATGGTGGTTTTATTTTAAGCAAAACCAGGCTATCATTATGGTGTAAATGACACAATCGTGCAATGTTTGGCTTATTAGTTAAATGGAACTATTTCCTTTTTGCCTTTCTACCGTTTAGTAAGTATTATGTTCATTGCCATAATTGTTTTTTCATGATTTTTCAATCTCTAAATGGCGGACCCCGTACGTAACATTTGTCGTCATTAACGCTAATCCAACGGTCATTAAGAGTATTAATTATCTCCATGATATGATTAATAGACTTAATCAGGAATAATTAAGTGGCGTCTCACAAAAGGGAACCGCGCTTAAAGAGAATTCTTTATTTCTGCTAGGTTAATACTCTAACTGATTGTTGATGGTTTTTTTTTTCCACTTCATACCACTGATTGTTGATGGTTCACTTTACCATCTGATTTAATTTATGTTCACATGCGTCTATCTACACGCATGCATGGAGAGAATATATAATTGTGTCTTGACAAAAATAAATTATTAACCAAAGGACGGGGAATATGTTGCTTTCAATATATGATGTATATTTATGCTCTTTTCCTTTACTAAACTTTGGGGGTATTTGGATCAAGTACGAAAGCAGATGGAAGCTTTATATTATAGTAATAATCAAGATATACAGATGACGACATGACGTCGTTATGTACTTGTATAGTTATAACTTCATGATTTTAGATGTAATCCTAATTAACGGATTAAGATAAATTCTAAACATCTTGCTCTTTAGAATCATAAAATTTCATGATGAATTACTTTGTAAGAATATTTAATATCACGCAAATATAGGTAAATTGCATGTGCCTTTCTAGATATGGCGCCATAAGAGAAAATTGCTTCAATTCTTCAGCCATCACAAAATGTTCTCTTCTCCTTTCGTCCATCTTTCTCTCACACTCTTGATGGAAATGATAATACCAATATTATGCTTTCGTTTAAGATAAATTAGGGTCAATTTTCTAAATCCTCATTGACAATATTTCTAACTTCATTAATGATATTTCTTCATTTATTCTCAACTCGTGTAAAGGATGTCATGATTCAACAAGTTTTACATAATCATTCTACTGAAACCAGTGACGACTCCTATTTTTTATGTGTGTTCTTTTTAATCTATATATTGTAATCCCACTAAATAAAATTCTTGGCTTCATCATTGACCACAACCCTCATCTTTTATTTGGATTGGCAATGCGACCTCATTCATGTTATTTCTTGTTCAAGATCACACTTAACTGTTATTTCTTTAATAAATAAAAAAACCTCTAGATTATCAATTAAACTTTTTATTAAACAAGTTTTAATAGATCAGATTAGGATAACTGCAGTCCAACAAAAAATATCTCCTGGACCACTTTTTTTTTTTTGCTTTTATGCATTTGACCCGTGAAGTTTTTATCTGAATTGAAACCTAATCCATTAAACCCATAACAAAAAAGTTGCATATGTCATCCCCATTTTCATTTTCCCTTTCACCAAAAGTAGTGTGGATCTATTTATAACAATAAACACAATTTAATTTTCTAGTGCGCAAGTTGAGTGAATATTTTATGTTAGGTGCCACGGATATTCCCCACGTAAATGTACAAAACTAATAAACCACCATGGATAAAGAATTAAAGCGATTAAAGAAAAGTTTGTTTGAACAAGTAAAACTTGTTTCTTTTTCTTCATTTATTTTTCTGTTTCCTTTCCTTTTGAAAAGGTGAAAGATTTGAAAAGCATCTCCGTTAAAACATAAATAATAGTTATGTTTGTCTTTTTATATTTTACTTCCACCTTATATTTTTTTTGTCGACCCTTAGATCAATATATCAGATTTAATATTGATCAATTTGCAAGGTTGATATTTTTATCCAGGGTATAAATGACGTATCCTAATATGTATATTTTAACATCATTATATCAAAAGTATGCTAACATAGCTATAGTTTGAAGAAATTACTTTATAACTATATTTACGTGGACCACGTTTGTATAATTCGCTCGTAACTATATATATTCAGAATTTGTATAATTCAATTTCTAGTTGTATAAATACAAAATTAATATATGTTTACCCTAGCTTGTATATAATTAATTATGTTGTTGATGCATTTGTTAATACATTTGATTTGTATAAATTCTGAAATTTCTAAATGTATAAATACATAATTTGTATATACTGACCATGTTTGTATATTGACAAGTGAATTATATAAACGGAAATATCCATAGCAAAAGAAACTGCTATGGAGAGTAATTAGGCAAATTGTAGCTAAGAAGACTTATTAAGTTAATCTCTTTGCTATTTATGAAATTTCCTAAAATTAGAATTGACTAACATTTACCTAAACTACTGCTTTTGTCACAATTAAATGGCTGTAATTTTATTTTGGTCAACAAAAATATTTGCAAAATATTACTACTAACAAGTGTAAAGAACAATTTCCCCGCTGATAAAAATACGGACATATTTCTAGAACGCCTTACTAGTTTAGTTGCCACCAAATTCTTTTTATTTTTTTTAGTTAACATCCTTTTCTTTAATTCACTCTTGGTGGGGTAAGATTATTAGTATAGTAAAGTAATTATTGTCGAAATCAATTGATGCAAATAGAATAGACAGGTGAACAACCAAAGATCGTGATATGGAGAAGTTTAATTACATTATTTAGAATACTATGTTGTCAAAGATTTTAGGGTAGTCTCCTCTATTAAAATTTAATTAATTTAAAGTAACTGGTAGGTCACTTCCTCATAAAGAAAAAATGTAAGAGTACCAATTAAAGGTTTCGAAGTGTGCATGTTTTTTTAATAAAAAGAACATATTTGCTTCCTTTCTTCACCTCTAAGTTAATTAAGATGAGAGAAAGGCATAAGTATTTGTAATTCGTACTTACTATTTTTCATGGTTAGCTTTATTTTTCCAACCAGAGAGGAGTCACATCATATTAATATTTTGAGTAGTACGTATATAAGTCTGGCATCCAATTTTCCACTCAAGAATATTGAGTTTACAAGTGGAAGTAGTTTCAAATTTGGGAAGATATTAGTTTATGAAGAACGTCTACTAAGATTGGATTTGAGTAACTAATCATCCACATATAAAACGTGCAAACAAGAGAGAACCTAATAATATCCGCGTTTATACTGAAAATAACTACCATAAAGTACTCTTAATTATACTTGGTTTTGTAGTATTACCTTCTTTTGTAATTTGAAATATTCTTTACTTTTTTTTTAACAAGATTGGGTTGAGATAATCATGTTTCTATAATATTCCAAAATTATCCTTAAAACGTTATTAATGATTGGACGTGATAACAACATTTCTACCTTCATAAGGTGGGAGTAACCCACCACCCTCCTCAGACTCCACTCGTAGGATTACGTACTGCTTTTGCAAAACCAAGGGCTTGTTGGAAATTAGTGCTTATCTTTATATGTAGCTGGTAGTGCTGGTCATAGATTTATAAGGAAACAGAGTATCAAAAGCTGGGGCTCCACTTGTTCTTTTTTTTCCCTTATCCAGCAGGAAAAAGGAAAACAAAAAAAATCAGCGGGAAGAATTGTATTGTGCCCTTGCTAAGAGGGCTTTCATCCAAGCTATATCCACCAGGACCCAGGGATGATCATTTTTCATAAAGCAGAATCAGTGAGAAACCTTTAGGAAAATGATAAAATTAGGATAAGGAGCCGAAGGACTTACTGTGCCTTGCACTTTTGTCAGTAGTTGGTAGGAACGAGGAAATGTCTGCAATATGTCACTATCTTTTCCCAACTAATCTCTGCATTATTGCATTTGCAGTGAATTAAAAGAAAAAAACATCAGTCCAATTGAGAATGGCTCCATGTCGTCAACGTTACAAACCTACAGCACAAACAGAAATTGGGAAATGATTATAAGCCGTTATCAAGTATTCCAATGTAAAGCTTGAAAGCATAATGATTTTACACAGATTACAAGTTTTTCCCAATATTTGGGGAGAAATGAAGAAGGTGTTGAACCAAGCCGTACATTCATACAGGAACAGTTAGCCAAAAACCACAATGATTGAACACTTACTTCCCAGAGAACGGTCAAAATTAAGCTGAAACTACAAAATTGTACCTATAAAGACTAGAGAAAATTTCAACATAAGATCACATATAAATCATAAGCGTCTAGTTTCTAACTCCAGCACCTTATATAGCCACCAGATTGTCATGGCAAGGAAAGGAAGAAGGAGAATCAACTTTTAAATGGCTTTGATTTTTTTTGCCACATCTAGTGCACTATGGTTTGGTGTCAGCATAACATATGCTTTCTTCGTCCCGTCAGGCATGATTGATGTATTTACTTTCTTCATTTCAATCTTAAACAGCTTCTTTACAGCATCCCTTATGCTCTTCTTGTCAGCATCTTTGTGAACAACAAAAACCAAAGTATTATGACGTAATATATTCCCCATAGTAGACTCAGTTTTCAGAGGATATTGGATGACCTGGTAATATTCAATTTTGTTCCTCTGTGACACACTATTGTTGAGATGCTTGGGATTTCTTTCCATTTTCAACATCTTCCTCCGTTCAGATGAGACTGAATTTTGGATATCTAATACATGCATATTGGTTGATTCATCCGATTTCACTTTAATGGCATATGCTAGCCTTTGTTTCTTGGCATCTCCCTCTTTGCGACCGTCAACTTCACAAGATACAGGACATAGAAACTGAGAACCTCTAGCACTGAAGCTTGTCAGCAATTCCTGATATAAAAAAAGGATCAGAAAACCAATTTTCTTTATAATGCAACTGCTGCTGGAAATTAAACCTGTTTTCTAGTCCTTGAAAGTGATGCTGGCAACATTAAAATGAGGGATTGTATAACAATAGATCAAAGGCCATTTCCATCAGCAAAACTCATTTGTAGAACATAATTTTCCATTTGCAGTTTGCATTTATTTGTTACCTTAGGTAAAAAAGAGGGAAGGGCCACACAAATCATGAGAGAAATCTCAATAACTTCAAGCACCTTGTCACATTTCCTTATAGACGACTATGCATGTTTAGACTTCGCAGACACTCAATTTGAAAAGCCTTGAAGTATCTTATTCATGCAATGCAACAACAGGAGTAAACTAATGAGAATTTTTATTTTTTTTAAAATAAGGATATATGGTCCCAGTAACAATAGAAAATAGGCAGTATAAAATGTAAACCTTTGGTTGCTTTGGGGCGGGTGTGAGGACATTTAAGTGTAGACCTAATTACGTTACGTATCCTCTTATACTCTATCCTTGTAAAGTCGGATACATTGTTATCAGCTTAAATCTTTGGTTTAGGCAACAGCTTTGAATTGCCATTGCAAAACCCAAAACACCATCCAAGGTTCTATTATCCTAACGATGAGGCGTCTGTCACCAACAAACAAGATGCTAATACAACATCTAATTTAACAATGTACACTAGATGATCAAACTATGATAGTGTGAAGACCTCTAAATAAACTTAATCAGAACCACATTTTAGATCCACCAGCTCCACCTAAACCAAAAATAAAAAGGAAGTGGGGCATAAACCTACATCTGAGGATAAGCCATTATGAATTTCAGAAATCTACCAACAAAAAATCATACTCCATCCGTGTCAACGTAGATGACACTTTTTCTGTTATGGGACGTCCCAAAATGTTTAAATCATTCAATTAAAAATATTAATCTACACAACTGTCGGTAAACAAAATTCATTTTGGTATCCAAATCTTATCTTTGATGTAGTGTTTTTTCCCATAAATATAACTTTTCAACTATTATCTTGATATACATTTTTTACGAAGACTAATATATTATAGAAGCCAAGTTATCATCGTCAACATTTTGTCAAGTCCAACACCATCATATAAATGAAACAAAGAGAGTAAAACAATCTCCAATAAACACTTTTTCAACAGAAACTCACATAGGAGTACTAAAAACTTCAATAAACATTTTTGCAACAGAAGTTCACATATGAAAAAAGAAAAATTAGGACATCATTCACCGTATGCAAATATGATAACACACACCTTATGAACTTCACAGTGACTCAGTAGTAAGGTTACTTAGGACTTCGGCATAATGCAAACTCTGATACCAAACATCTAAGAAAAATGTCTGCCCAAACAACACATTATCTTGGGAGAGCAAGTATTCCACATAGGCATACATGTCAAAAATATGTAGCAATCACTGATAAAATAATCATGCCAATTTGGATAATCTTGGGTATAATCCCACATCTAAAGTCAATAAAGCACAGAAGCAGATGCCCTTGAAACAATCAATTGTCAAAGCAAGCATTTTAAACCTGAATTGCAAATTTTGCTTTCTCCCGATATAAAGCAGGAGATAGAAGTTAACAGTGATAGCTACTCTGCTCATCCTTTCTGAATTTCAAATCACTTTCTAATCTTGACTCATACTAAAGGATATATGTATTGTGCTCTGGTGATTTATGAAACGATGAGAATGTCAATTATTAGAGAAGGGAAAATCAAGTTGGGGAGAAAAGGGACATTTCTAGGTGATCATCCGAAAAGGAAGAAAAGAATTGTCCAAGGCATGCAGCAGACTCAATTTTTGACGAATAACAAAACTTTGATCTTCCCTTTTGACAAAAGTGCCGGGTCCAAACACATTTTCGATGATACTTTCAGAAAACAAGGTCAATAATTTTGAAGACTTGTATAGTGAGCACCATGGAAAAATGAGAGCATAGCTAAATTCAACACTGAGAAATCAAAAAGAGAGGAGATGACATGAAAGATAGATAGTTATTTGAGCTCACTATAATTGACCACATGAATAGAAATCTTAAGATCATGGAAAAAGAGTTGCTGAATGATACCCAATTCTTTAAGCATTTCATTTAGCACTTATCTTATTTCAAGACTTTTCTCTTCGGGACAAACATAAGATATTTGAGTTGAGCTAGAATAACCGTAAATTATTCCTATTGGAAGAAGGAAAAGAATAAATGAACAAATGAACTTGAACTTATGACATATTACGATTTTATGCAATGATGATTCCAAGTTGTTATGTCATTCTTGATATTTGAAGGTTATATCATGTCCCTTTTTTAAGTTCTTTTAACAATAAGAACGTGATGATTCTCTTTTATCTCTGGAAACTAAGCCATAAAGATTGAGTGTTCTCATGGCCCGAACCAGAACAACTCTTTACTTCTAGGTATCTATGTCTAGTCAACGTTGTGCCTCCACCATTTGGTAAACTTGTATAAATCCTACTAGCTGTTTGCCATAAAATAAAGAGCAATGCAACATTCCATGTTAAAGCGCTAGGGCGTAAGTCATTGGAATAACATTAGTCTCAAGGGAGATCCTAAATCCAAGCAATATGTATTATATTATAATTGAAGAAAGCACTACAGTTGAGCAAAATGTAAAGCCAAACTTGGAGGCTTGGAGCTAGTTCTTACATCGCAGAGAGTGGAAATTGCTGTTTCAACCTTTTGAGTATTCCCAATTCAAAATTGAGCTTACACGCAGTGATTCAACAATTAGAAGATAACAATACAATATATTTATAGTCAATTAAACATCATCCAAATAAACATCTAGAAATTAGACATAACCAGTTGTGTAAAATATAACATGTATAAATGTCTGATTGGAATTGCAAGGAAAAAAAACTCACATCGCTGGTCTGACGGAAATTGCCGAGAAAAGAACAGAGGTTTACAGAAGAAGACGACTTGTGAACGGGAACAAAAGCGAAAGAAAACGTAGCCCTGGTGATTGATACTGAGTAACTGAATATTTGATCCTTACGCCGGCTGGAACAAACAATAGCCGCCGGAGTGGCTATTGCAGTAGCCATTAGAATTGGGCGGCGCAACCAACTATAGGG